CTAACTATATGCTTTAGCAAAAAGGAAAGTTTGCAGCCTAATCTTAAAAGTAGAGATAGTGTCTGTCTCCTGAATCCAAACTGGAAGCTGGTTCCACAGAAGAGGGGCCTGAAATGCAAATGCAGTAGTTGAAATGTTTAAGCAGGCTTTTCAAGGCTTAATATCTTGAAAGTAATTTTCTTTGATCATTTTAAAAAGGGCTCAAGTTGTTTCAGTGATTTATGAAAAAAGCAGAAAAACACTGTCGTTTGTGGATTTTACGGCAGATTTTGTGCGTGTACATTTTTGTCCACGGAGGTGTCGAGGCGGGCACACGGGCCAAGTATTCAGAAGCTCCAGGAGAGGGCGCTGAAGTCATTCGGTGCGAAAGGAAACTGCAACAACAACAGAGAAGACCAGGAAGCAGCTGCAAAGGTTTGCGCATGCGCCATACACTGTACCAAGTTAAAACGACGGTGAGTTGTTTGTCATTCTTCTGCATAACAAGTAAAACTGCGTTTTATCTTAACAGCGTCTGGTCTGTGAAGTTGTTGCAACTTGTGACTTTGTTGGGGGGCAGCTGGAGCTCTCAGTGCGTGGAGTGGGATTACACGCCGTACTGTCAGCTGCAGCATCGGAACTTACTATAAGATGAAGCTGAACTTTACCGGAACCTGCCTTCTGCTCTTGTTTAAATACGCACGTGCTGTTAACAGTCCAGTCCACAAGCCCCTACACCGAGCCCACCCGAGTGGGTGATAGTGGAAAAGGGCTGTGAGAGGGTGTGGGTCATCATCAAAAAGTGAGATTTGAGGCGTTACGCCGTTAAAGGACGTGAGGGACCGTGGGTGTAACGGAGACGCTGAAGCGTCCTCGTTGATGCTGTCAGTGCGACACAGAGAGCCAGCTGCGCTCTTTTTAAACGACTCGGTCTTTTCTTACAGAAACATCAGTAACGGTTGAAGATGACGACCTCATGGAGCGACCGTCTGCAGAACTTCGCTGCTCTTCCGGCCAACATGGACGGCGTAGCCATGAAGAAGTATCGTCGTGAAGCTCACCACAGGTAGATGGTCCCGGTGCAGCACACGTCTGTCCGCTGATGCTCAGAAATGTGCAGTTACACAGTGCTGTGCAAAAGTCT